TATTCTTCAGCCTGAAGGTCTTTATTGAACCAGCAGAGTCTACTATATCCTTAACCAAAGCAATGATTTCAAGTATAGATCTATAAACCAAAATGTAGTAACTGACAGAAACCTGTCTTTTGGGAAAACTTAATTTTCATCTCGTGCCTTTAGTGCAATCACTCATTTTTAGTGAGTTTGGATGTTTTAAATGATGTGATATAGTGTAATGTTATTATTTTATTTGAAAAAAGCTACATGTAACCCATAAATAGACGCTTTCATCTTAACAGTATTCCAATAATATTTTGGTTTCCTGGTAACATTGCTTATGATTTTTCGTCATGAGGTAGACAAAGAATGAAGCTATTTCACTGGATTCTGAAACAGAAGAGAAGGTTACACTGATATTACAAAAACACACCGTTGGTTGCAGTTCTCCCCATGTTCAGCAAGCCATGAAATAACGCTACGCTGAATTTCTGGCACTTGAAAACAGATAAGTAATCCAAAAAAGACAATGGCCTTTTGGCAATGTTTAATCACAAGGTGAAAGTGCTATGCTGAAACATGGGACTTCCCTTTTTCCCCCTCTACCTCTATTCAGTTGCTCATAACAAATCAATGTAACAATTTTCCAGAGTCTAGATCAATGGAAACACGGAAATTAATTGTTGCAGTCACCTCATTACTCGACTGTCAGTGTTAATAGATGTTTAGCACTGCAGTAAGAGGAGCACCAGTGTATGATTTTATCATTGCGGATAAGTGTTTTTAAAGCGACAGCTCACCAAGGGAGGCTGAGCCAGGTGCTGTGCCCCATGAACGCAGCTCAGGATACCCCTACCCCGCAGGGCTGTAACTCGCCACATTGGTTTTTAGATCCATAGTTTTTTCCCCTTCGTCTCTTGTTCAAGAAGGAGAGAGCCCACTGGCACTTCCCCTCTGGCACCTGTAGAGGAGCTGAGAACGGGCTCACCTCTGTACACCTCATGAACTAGGAAACATGAGTTGTGTACCTGGGAGGAAGGGAAAGGTCTCCTTTTGGTGTAAGGGGCCGGGGGGCAGATTTCAACTGAGCTGCATGGAGTGCCTGATACGCTGTTATTTCATTGATGAGCTCCTCAGCATGTGCAAAATTGCAGCACTTGGTTAGTAAAATATGTGAACCAAATCTTTTTCCCTTACTCCCCAGGTGCCCCAGGCCAGGACGCGAGCTGGGGTTGAGGGTGGCCCCAGCGCAGCCTGGGCAGTGCCCCCACTGACGGGCACCTCCCACAGTGCCTGAGCCAGGCGGCAACAGGGTCCGTCCCCAATTGGGTGACCACCAGATGCGGGGAGGTAACGGAGCAGGAAGGCCCGGCAGGATGCCCCGTCAGCACAGGAGGGGCAGGACCGGGCACAGGCACACCCCCGATATAGATCCCGGGGGCCAAGATCGAGCTCAAGTGAGACCCTCAGTGGGACTGGTCAGGACAGTTGGGGCCCACGGGTGCATGCAGGGCCCTGGCAGCCAGCTCCTCAGGGATCATCGGAGAAGAGGAGCTATCCTCACCATGCTCCTCATCATCCTGGGATGCAGAAAGTAAGTAATATTCCTCTGATGAAAGATGGTTTCACTCTTAGTTTCTCCCTGCTTGAAGGATATTTTTCAGAAGATGTTATATTTCTGTTCTCTCAAAACTGTGGTATATTTTAGAAATAAACTAAACTAGGAAGAAGGCTCTACATGAATCTGGTCCTGAACATCTAAACAAATGTTCTTTTTTGTCTTGTTTTATTCCTCAGTTTTCCAAAGAACTCTGGGAGGATTTCACTAGGGAACTACTGAAGGGCTCCTTTGGGTTATGGAGAGTTATAGAGTCAGAGAAGCATGAACCTGATTCAACAGAGGAAAATACTCCATGCACAGCAACAGCATTGATAAAGATGGGGACACAGCTGTGGCTGGTCGGGTGCTAAATGGTCTGAAGCTGTACAAGGAAAGGCTAATGAGAGCCAGGAGAGGATTATTCAGAGTCCTCTTTTCACATGGAAGGCCCACACCAGGGGGATAAAGATAGTATGTTCAGGAAACTGCATCTGATACTCTCCTAATTAGACAAAAGATAGCTCAAACTCTGATAACAAAAAGGATTGTTTAATTTTTTTATTATTATTATTTCTATGGGAGAAGGTGATTGACTAGGTACTGAAAATGATCTGACCATACAAGACAATGCCTTTTGCTGCAAGTCTTTTTTTTTGCCAAAACTTGGGCAACGCTGCAGAAACAGAGCCCATACTTAGCCAACAAATAATAAGTAAATTTTATAAACTCATAACCATCAGAGCATGTCTGTATCAGAAGGGATATTTTACTCACCTTTCCTAAAGGTGCACAGATTTAATGGCTGTTAAATTGGTACCCAGACCTGAAAAATTTTTGTTTTGGGGTTTGCAATGCTGAACAAGCTTTGTTTCCTCAAGCTAATTTCTTTGGTCTGTTTCTGTTGACATGATGCCTCACTTTCTCCCTCTCCTTCTCCGCTTATAACACTCAAAACATCAGTCAAAAACGAATTTTGAATCTCCATAATCTACTGCAGAAACTTTTCAGACCGCAGAAGGGACAGACGAGACACCATCACTGACAGTATCAACAAAATAAATCCTTCAGCACCAATAAATTGTATCAGTGTTTGCTTATGGAGTTTGGGTCTTTTTTCACCTGTCCAAACTGATGGCAAGTCATCAAGGCAATGCCCCGTAAGTTTGATAGTATATTGGTTAGCTGACAAATCTGTAAAGCCAAATGAAACTCAAAGCTTGTATAAGAAAGTAACAGTGTCCAGCAAATACCGTGCTGTCTCTTTGTTGCCTACATCAGCCGCCTACCACGCAGTGCACAGGGCTAGCCTTTGTTCCCCAACTATATACATCATTTTAAAGCTGTCAGAGCAATACCTACTCCTATATATTTCTCAGTTATGGCCTGTTCTCTCAAACCCCACTTCCTCCTGAATGGGTGGCGAAGACCCTTAAAAGAGCAGTGCAGTAATTTTCCTGCCGTGGCGGACAAGCCACCGAGAGGCTGCTTCTTTGTCTTACAGAACAAGATATGTCCTAGCATAGTGACGCAGATGGGGATGGCTTTAGGAGGGAAACCAAGAGTCAGATCTGTCTGTGACAACTGAAGCCTCTTGAAATATCCGTGTGAGAGGAGGAAATAGACTTGATTGCTACTATGACTTGTTGTGTGCTCCATTTTCCTCTCCTTGAACTGGAGGTTTCCCAGGTTTGTTTCTGCATAGAGAAATCCTCCACAAAAGACCCTTTCTCTTGAGCTACACAGAATGTCCTGAGGCTGGACGTTAAATAACTTTTTTGGGACAGATGATAGGACTGAAACACCAGTTCAGTGCTTTTATGTTGAGCCTTGCATCTTCTTGAAAATGAATTCAGAAAGCTCCCAGAGTTTTATTTCTCTGTGGGGAACAGAGATGGCACAGAGCCTGTAGTCTGTGATGAATGTTAGCAATGTAAACTACTTTAGTATCTAATGTCTTTTGAGACTCCATTTGCAGATTTTCCTGCTTTCACTGAACACAGCCAAGATTCTGCTATAGTGAAACTTTCACGTGTCTAAACTCTGCCTTGTGTGGTAAAACATCCCTGTGACTGTTAGCAATTAAACTGCTGAATAGCAGAGAAAGAAAGAAAGATGTCTGGTACTCTTGCTGCTAAGGGATATGACAGCACAAACTTCCGAAAATCTTGCTTCTCTGCTGCAGTCATGGGCACTGAAATTTATCACTAACCAATTTCAAACATTCTGTGGCATTCAACACGGAAAAAATGTTACGTCAGAACGCATCAGTTAAACCGCGGTAAAAAATTAAATATAACCATATGCTACCAAATGAAGAGTCAGCAGAGACTGCTGACTTTTTGCATGTTAATGCACGTGAAGTAAATTTTGTCTTTTAGAAGAGGGGTGGTGCTGGCCAACCAGGACTAATAATCCTGGTGCGTAGCGGAGACAGAACTCGCTCCTGCCCTTCCCCAGCTCATAGAAAGTAGTAATTTATTCTATACCAACAGCGAAATATGACACCCCATTGAGTTTTATAAGTGTATTGTGGGAAGTAGAGCTCATGCTAAAGTATTACCTCAGAAATTGTCTCCCAACAGCGCATTGCCTGCTCAGATATGAGGAACCCCTAGAGCTAATTCCCCGCTGTGTAAGTCCTCCACTGACAAACAAAAGAAGTTGAAACCCTTCTGGATCACAGGCTTCAGAAATGGAGGGGACTGCAGCAGCAGGAAATTTGGGGTGATAGAAGGGGATTTGACTCATTAGTCACTTTGCTTGCTGGTGTCTGTTTATACTGCCTGACATCATGGCACTTATGTCAAGGGTCCCTGCAGTGTATAAAAAGTCTTCTGTTCAGCGTGTCTTTGCATACAAATAAAAAACAAATACTATAAAATTGACAATTTGGGAAGAAGCAGTTACCAGAATCTGATTTAGAATTCAAATTTACGCTTTTTTTTTAGCTTATTCTTCAGCTGTGCTATTATAACTTTATATCTAAATGCACTTTTCCTGATTTACTGATGTGATTGATTCTTTTGTAATCTCTTGTAAAGTGCTCAATTCTAAGGATGGTACTTCTTCCTGTTAGTGACCCTTCAGACATTTTTATGTTTTTAGTGCCCTTCTCTTACTCCTTCTGAGTATTTCTAAATCCTATGTACTCTGCATTTCATTATGTAAGAATGGGGGGTTATTAGCATTCCAGAGGCAACACGTCTACCAAGCTGACTGCAACAAAGATAAATGATCTGTTTTACGCTGCACAAATTCTGTCCTTTATATAAACAAGCACATCTATGAGACTATCTAAGTTCATTACAATAGTTTATTATAAATAGTGTTTAATGTTCATCACCCGAGTATCATATTCACATATATTCACATATACATATAATCAATTCATTTAAATCAAAAAATAATTGGAAAAATTTATTTTTCCTTTTATTTCTTAACTATATCTCGACTGGATAAAAATACCTTATAACCGTAAATAAATTATAACTGCTGAAAACAAATTACCCTTGGGTGGTATTTTCCAGTGAAGTATATGGAAACATTTCGCTAATTTCAAAGCTGTACAGTTTGGATGAATACCATGTTTTTTAAAAATGAAAACCAGATACAAATAATACCAGCCTAATAGACAAACAAATAAGCCTCTAAGGCTAGGTACCTTCAGGCAAAAGTATGCAGTTATGTTACCAGTAAGCTTGTAGTAAATACCTGCTAAGAGACCTCTCCATTTATATTTGATCAAAACCATTACATTTTTCAGAAATTCTTGCCCTGTGCCATAGGAGTCACTGAGATTGCGCATGACCAAGGTGGCTGTCAGCTTTGCGCTCTGCCAGTCCCTGGCTGCCAGCTCCCCACGGGGGCTGCGTCATCCATAGGGAATCGCTGCAGGACGGCTACACCGGGTATGCTGCCCATCGCAGGCACAGTCTGTGTATGGGAAAGAGAAATAAGCAGACAGAGACTTATGGCACAGCAGAATCAGCTTTCCAAACAGGACAGCCTATAGACTTTTATCCTTCTCTAGCTGGACCTAGTTGCTTAATAAACTGACTTGTAGGTAGATACCACATGAAAGCTGGGTTGCAGTAACTGATGATGCTTAAAGTTAGTCTTGCTCGTAGAAAATCACTTTACCAGCTCTGGCACTTTGTCACGTTGCACAACACAGTTAGGTATCAGTTGCACAAACACAAATATGTATCTATAGTGTATATAAACCTGTAGCTCACTGTGTAGTTTTAACGGTGTCCACATTTCCACTATTTCTGTAGCTTTGGTCTTGAGCTCTCTGAGACTTTGACCGGGCTGGTGCTGGGTACACTGGATACTTTTCTGAGTGAAAGACCAGATCACAGCACTCACTTAAAGCAGAATTACGCTCTGTGCTCTGGGGGTAGCAGGGGAGAAGTAACATGTATTTGAAACATTTGAAGTTTCCACAGGGGTAAAGGATGGTCTGAAAATTAAGCAAAGGTTTCTAACCACCAGAAAAGGTATGGAAAGCTGTGTCAGGAAGGGGCAGATAGAGGTAACTGTATCTGCATATGCCAAGGGAAACGTTACTCCGTACTTGCAGTTTCCCATACTCATTCCCTAAGTGTCCGTCACCAGCCCCATCAGAGACCAGGCACAAGGCAAGGTGAAAACCAGGCACAAGGCAAGGTGAAAACTGACCTGAGCCTTTACAGCCATTCTTGTGTTTTTGTGTTGTTCCCTCCACAAAAAACTCTGTTTTGACTTTCTGAAGGTGGTATAAAAAAATAACATGCAGTCCACAACTGGAAGGAGACCAGAAAATAATATCCTGAGTCTGTGTCCTTTCTTTTCTCTTCATGTCACTCACAGAGACACAACTTTCCAATCAGCGCAGCATCTTGGTCAGTGCCGTGCCAAAAGTTGTTAGAAATGTTCAAAAGTAAAAGCTACGTTCTGCCACAAGGCCAGTCTTGCTGAGTAAGTGTGATCGCAATATGTCTTTCTGATGGAGAACTAATAGCTGCGGCCACTTCCTTTACCAAAAAATGCGTTTTTCTATATATCTATTCCTCCTGTAAAAGTATTTTGTTGATATTCACAAAATCGTTTTGCCTCAGGAGGCCTATTGTCTCTTTTCTTGATTGCACTTTTATGCTTATTTAAATATTATTTAAATTCACATCTCATCAGCCAAACATAACAAAGCCTACAAGGGAATTTAAGATGATCTAGAGCAAGCTAACATGATCTTCAATTTTTAATTCTTCTCTTCCCATCCTAAAGTAAAAAGATGAATGTGTCCTCAGCAAGTGAAACATAGCTGTGGCATTATAAATTTCCAGATGGTACTAGCAATAACTGAATGAGTTCATATCTCTGATGTAATTCCCATCAAATTAATGGCACTACAACAGAAATTAACTTGCCCCTAAATCTGCCCAAGTCAAACATAGAAAATTGTAGTAACATCAGTTTGCTGCACTCAATTCATAAAAAATAAAATAAAATATAGAAAATCCTAAATTTACATAAATTCTTTAACTTTGTAAATCACTTCATCAGCACGTAATACATTTCAAGAATATATTTTGTAGAATTTCAATAGCAGTGTATAATTATATATAATAATTTCATTAAACCTTAACATATGATATTATATGCTGCCATCTGGATTCAGTCATATAATATCCTCATTTTTTTTTAAAAAAAAAAAATTTAGCCAAAATAAATATTACTTTTTTTTTTTTTTTTAGTGTCTGGGCATTGCACAAGGAATAGTCATAAAAGTGGAAAAGAAGCTTGGCTAAAGAATTTAGAGCTTGGCTAAAAAATACGAGTCATTGAGTTTCTTACCATTGACATCAAAACAACTGCACAAGAGCCTGTAAAAATGAGAAGCCACAGAGATGAAATACAAACAGGAAGTCATGACCACAAAACAAGGAACCTAGACGTAGGTTACAACAAAAAGCAACAATGACATGGAAATTATGCCCTAGAAATACAACAAATAGAATGCCTTTGGCAATAATGGTTGACAAGGGAATAGTCGCTGTTCTTGGTAATGCTTTCAAAACTGCCTTCCCTGTCGATTTAAAGGAGGGTGTCTTTCTTGCTGCTCCCATTCGGTAATATTGCTGGAGATGACCTGAGAAGTCTATGTTTGGTTTGACAAAAGATTTTATCTCCCTACTCCACTCCACCCTGAAAAAAATCTAGTTGGGCAGAGTTCACAGAGAAGTCTGGAAACTAGAGGTAAGGAGGTGTGGCTGAAAAGCCATACCTGTGCAGTCTTGAGATAAGCCAATGGATGTGCAGTCTGATCATGAATGATGTTTTCAGCAAAGCTCAGTGACTCATCTGAGCTGCTTTACATGTACCAATGGAAATTTCATACCGTTGTGGACAGCTTTTGAAACTCATGACTGGAGTTTCTGTAAAGAGCTATGTGGGAAGGGGAAGAGGGCCTTTCCTTGCAAGATTTAAAACTTCCAATTTGCTTCTTGGCAGATCCTCCCTCTAATACTGTGATCATTCTTGATGGGGGGGCTGCACTTCTGTGCTAGAGATAATATAGAAGGTATTCCTCATACATCCGAGCTGTCTGGAAGCTAAGCATCTAGTCTAAGCTCAACATCAGTAAAATGAACATAAAGACTCAATAAGGCGTAATCGAGGCTTTCTATATAGTTACTGGAAAGCAATAGGAATTTTCAAAAGATACATGGGTTGAGCTGCTCTCTAAAGGTTCTCCTCTTTCTCAGCTGTTCAGGGAGTCTAAGTTACTCTCTGAGACTAGCCATGGTTTACATAGCCTAAGTTAGGCAAGGTGAATTGCACCCTCAGTACCCAATATGATGGGATGGAGGCTTCTCAGAGAAAGAAGGTATTTATACGTATCACCACATGTGTAGCTTGTACTAGGGTATTGCTGAGGTAATTTGACTTTGAAACTTCTCCAGTTTTCAGACCATAGTGTGTTTTGTTTTGTTAAGCCCATTTTCCTCTGAGATTTCACAGTATAGGCATTGCTCCTTATGCTCCAGAAGTACCTAGAGGAAAGCGCCACAATGTACCAGGCACAGTTCACATGTGTTAAAGAATTTCCTATTCCCCACAGTTTACAGCAAAATACATGGTAAGAAGCAACAAGTGAAGATAAACATCGAAAAGAAGAAGGCAGGGAATATAAAGCACCTGGGAAATGATTCTGTCTGTTATGATAAACAGTTTACCCAATACTGGGTCTGGAGGAGAAGAACCATGCATGGGTTTTGTGGATGAGTCCAGCAGGTCACACCACATGTAGGTATTTATACGGCAGAAAGTATCAAGGCATCTGAGGGAAAACTATTACCATTGACTAATTCTCCCTCATAGTGGAAATATGGTTTTCTTACTCATTCTGATGATAGCCTAGTGTGATGCAGAGAATATACCAGATATATCCCTCATTCTGCCAACTAATAAAGTTCTTAATGAATTGAAAAAAAACATAGGTTTTGTCAAGCTTTTCATTTTCATTCAATTTTTTAGTTATTGGCTTGATCTAAGTCTTGCAGATAAAATACTAAATTACTGTGAGATATAGATATATAGATACAGATACACACAGTCATCTGAAAAACAGAAACAAAGGAATATGCAACTTATTGTCAATATCTTTATTAGAATGTGTTGCACACATTTTTCTGTGTGTGTATGCATATATATACGCATTTATGTCTGTGTGCATGTGCGTGTATGTGTGAGTGTGTGCGCACTTCTGAGCTCTGATCTCAAACTTGACCTCTAAATCTTTTTAGATATGTTTAGTACCAAGCTTTAGAAAGCTGGTATCTAAATATTGCCTTTTATAATTCATGTTTTTCATCATGCCTGAAGGCATTTTGTAATAAGTCTTAATATACTGTTCTCAGGAGTGCACAATGAGGAGGGGATTATTAAAATTAATGGAACTGATATTTGCACATTGGAAAGTAATTGCTTACTTCAGAAAGTACTGTAAATGATGAGTGACTTGAATATTATGCTAGTGAGCATTTATAACATAGTGGATAATTTTGCAATTACAATTTCTGATGACATTATTAAAGCTAGGTCACTTATTGCACTAATCTCTTCTGTTATGCCTTCTGGTATAATTACATTAGTTACTAAGTACAATATTTTTTTAAGAAATTATGCTTGCCATTAAGTGTTTCAACCTTACCTATAATGAGATCAGCATTAACAAGATGCTATCAGTACTATAATAAGATTTGATCAACAGTGTGTTAGAGCATTGAAGGGGTAAGTTACAACTTTAATTTATTTTCAGCTCTTCTTTATTTTTATCTCGTGAAGGTTAACAAAATGCATGCCCAAAAAAGCCCTTTTTTTTCAAAGTAGATACAAACATACCCATTCAAAAGTAGGTATCAGGGGAAGAGCAATGCATCTGCTCATTCTTTCCATATGTACAGTAAATTGCATCTGTCTCAGCATATTTCTTTGCAAAGCAGCAATATTATCATGGGTAAAACTAAGTCAGTGAACATAATGTGCTCTACTTGGAAGTTCAAAAAAGGTCTATAAAAAGCCACTTTCAAGACTTTTTTCCGAATAATAAATATCCATGGGGAAAGGTCCAATCATGTATCAAAAGCAGGTAAATCAATAGGAAACGGAGACCATGTACCCTTTGCAAGAGAATAAAGCAGATGCCAAATTTCCTTAGGGATGTATGAATTGTAGTGTGTGAAATAGTAATCCTGAGCAGGAGCAGACACCAAGAAATCCAAAAACCACAAAGAAATGAGAGAGGAAAATATTGTTATTAAGGCTGATGAAAACTAAACTGAGGTCGTGATTCACTCCAGATGTATTGAATGAAATTGAGAGACTGGATTGTATCACTGCAAGTGACTGTTAACGTCAATAAGGACATAACTTGAAACAGTCTATGTTTC